ACATCCTACATTTAAAAACCAAATAGTTTGCTAATACATACGTAACCCTGCAATTGTCTCTTATCAGTTTGGTATCATTTTGCGAATGCCCTAAATAGCAAGTTTTGCAAATGTTCTAATGACCACAAAGACAGAAAATGAATTGAGTTTGTTTTGTTTGTTGTTGTCGTTTGTATCCCTCTTTTTGAGGTTTACTTTCTCGTTAAATATTCAATGCAGGTTGCAAGGAAACTTGCCAGCCACTCCCTTGGTACCGCAGCATGGGCTACCAACGTTGGCAATGAGCACGGCCAAGTCCTGATGAGCGTCTTGACAGCTGCAGAAGGCCAAGGTCTACACAAGGATGCTGGTGTGCCCCCTCCTGAGCTACTATTATCTAGACAGACTGCAGCAGTACCAGGTGAGGCAGACATGAAATTTGGTCAAATTCAACAGCTTCTTTTTCTATCTTGTGAACTAAATTTCCACAAAAATTCATGCAAAATATGAAACCAACTTATGGACTTATTTTCCTAAAAAGGAAAACCAGACTCTTCAGTGGCTCTCCCAATCTGCAAGTTTGTCTTGACATCTGGCACTTCATGAGGAGATTTGCCTCTTCCTGTACAATGGAGTGTCATCAACTTTACCCGTTCTTCCTGCAGCGACTTTTAGCATGCATCTTCTCATGGAGTGCAGAATATGTCAACCGTCTGAGAGAGGCAAAGATGAATTAGCTGATGGCCCAGAACATCAGCAGGCCCACAGATGAAGACGTGACCAACAGCATGGGCACGAGAGCCCTGGCCCGCTACTGCAGACAGACAACCCGTCGTGTAGAGGAGACTACTAGCCTCATCAAGGAGCTCAAAGGACAACCAGACTCTTCAGTGGCTCTACCAATCTGCAAGTTTGTCTTGACATCTGGCACTTCAGGAGGAGATTTGCCTCTTCCTGTACAACGGAGTGTCATCAACTTTACCCGTTCTTCCTGCAGCGACTTTCAGCATGCATCTATCTTCTTATTGAGTGCAGAATATGTCAACCGTCTGAGAGAGGCAAAGATGAATTAGCTGATGGCCCAAAACATCAGCCGGCCCTCTGATGAAGACGTGACTAACAGCATGGGCAAGAGAGCCCTGGCCTGCTACTGCAGACGGACAACCCGTGGTGTAGAGGAGACTACTAGCCTCATCAAGGAGCTCAAAGGACAACCAGACTCTTCAGTGGCTCTCTCAATCTGCAAGTTTGTCTTGACATCTTGCACTTCAGGAGGAGATTTGCCTCTTCCTGTACAACGGAGTGTCATCAACTTTACCCGCTCTTCCTGCAGCGACTTTCAGCATGCATCTTCTTATGGAGTGCACAATATGTCAACCGTCTGAGAGAGACAAAGACGAATTAGCTGATGGCCCAGAACATCTACCCAAAATAATGGTACCACCAACAGCAAGCACATGTGTCATTTTTTTGACGCATTTTGAAAGAATCTCACTATAACACAAACAGTAATCTAAGAACTAAATTCCTGCCTCGTTCTCCTCAGTTCCACCTGCAGTGCCGGCTGTAGTTCAAGCTCCCTTGCACTGCCCAGTGACCAGCCGAAGCAACCACTGCCAGCTCCAAGCCTGGGCCACTCAGAAGCCATTTGCCCTTTTCTCCCTGAACCTCCAGTCGTTGAAGAACCCATAGAGCTTGAGGACCCACCTGAGCACACAGATGAGCCTGTAAATACAGTTCATGTAGAGACATTGTGCCATTGTATTGTATGCAGAAATAGAAAATGTCACTGCTGCTTCTTATTTACTTTCTAAAAACTGGATTAATTTCATTTAATATTTATTATGCAGGACAACAACGTCTGGCTCCACAACATTTCCGGGTATAACAGGGTAGAGGCTCTGGAAGACTACCTCTTTCAGTTCCGGCATGGGAGCGGTGTCATCAGCCAGAGCCAGGCGGACGACATTATCAAACTGTGGAATGCACTCCACAGTTTTGACAAGACTGTCCATCGCAAACCCCACCACCAGCCCAAGCTCTCAAAGGGGAGGTTCAAGCAGTCAAAAGGGACTTCTGTTATTGCTGGCGTTGGCAACACTAGAAGGTATGAACAAGCCAACAAGTCATACCAATTTACAGTCAAATCTCCTCAATAAGAGGTGTTCAATAAGAGGTCCTTTGGAACATTGTATTGTGAGGAATAAAAAACAAAGAATTTGAACCTGAAGTTTTCTTTGTGAAAAGCAAAAACTTCAATTTTTCAGTGCTCTTATTAACAAAGTTTGACTGTAATACGCGTTCAATAGTTGGCAACAGAGTGTCGGAGAATAACAGTTGTCATATGTTCATGTACTCAATTCTCCTTGTTCGCTTTTGTTATTTTTTACATTAAAAAAATTTTTTTTTATGTTTCTTAGGCGAGAACACAGGTCCAGCCACCTGGCTTGACAGTAAACGGTACATGGAGTGCCTCATCGATAAGATGTGCTGCCACTTGCCCAGACCGGACTGAGGGCGGGGTAGGACCACACAGCGATGCGCACTTGTGACCAAGGCCTATGGGAACATCCGACAAAAAGTGCTGTCAAACACCACAGTTGTCCGAAACATCCATATGCAGCTGCAAACCCTCATCCACTGGTATGAATTGTTAATTCATTTTAGTGTGCTGTGAATCAACACGAATAAAAGGAAAAGTTCCAAAGGCACAGAGGACTGAAATGTTTGATCAGCCATCAACCCCCCTCACGCCCTAGGGAAAAAAGGAAAAAAAACACATACACTATCATGGAGTGAAAATAGGTTAACATGCCAACCCTCATGCAATTTATCATGAGATTGTGACATGGGAAACAGGAACAGTAACAATTGAGCCCAAGTATTTGGTTACGAACTGCAGTTTCTTATGTATGTACAAAGTTGAAGGGAGTCTGTGATAAATTAATAGCAAACACTCATCTGGTCAAACCGTATCATTTCTTCAATCAGGTACAACGAGAAGTCCAAGGAGCAGGAGCGGGGCAACAGTAGGCAAGAATGTTAGCGGTAGGCTGTGATGTGGGCACTGGTCAGTCCACACTTGACGGATCCTGAGCACACAGATGAGCCTGTAAGTACAGTGTAAATACAATTGAGTTCATGTAGAGACATTTTGCCACTGTATTGTACATGTATGCAGAAATAGAAGTAGAATAGATCATGAACGATCCAGTCCAAAATTCGAAAAACAGTAATACTAACGCTCTACTCGGTAGAGCTACATGTATCTCTGTGAACGTAGTCATAGTAGTGGCCCAAATTTCGAAAGGGCCAAACACATTAATTCCCAGGGGTAAATTGGGCTACAAACTCACATACATGTACATGTACATGTAAAAAGAAAAGGAATCGTACCCTTCTCCGTGAACATCTTTAACATCTGGAAACGATCCCCCATCAGTAAGGTACCCTTTTTCTGGCAGAAATTACATGAACTGAGTTAACTCCCATTACTTCGAGAACTCAAATTCACTACTCCGTCATACTCCGTGTGACTTCATGCCAACAAGGTTTACATGTCATTATGCTGCTTTCAAGTCAACTCATACCTTGGATAAATGGTACCTCGAGTTAAGACCACTCGTACTTTCATGCTTGGAATTCAATTGTAACTTTCTTGCTCTTCCTTTTCAGCATGTTCAGGATCAGATTTTGACAAACATATCAAGGAAAAATCTTCATAAATCTCCAGGAGAGATCTCGAGCTCTGGAGCACCAGCATGATTTTCTGCATAAGGCCTGCCACAGGCATTTGCGCCGTCAGTTTATTACATGATGGATGTCCAACAACCCGACTGTTCACCAACTTGATTTCATTCTTTTTTGGGGGGATGGACTTTACTGAACTTTCAATTCTGTTTTGGGGGGGTTTTTTGAGGGGGGACTTCAATTTATTCTTATGGCTCTGGGAAATTGTTATTGGACTTTTTCATTTTGTGGGGGAATGATGATTTTGTTTAGTATCTTTTTGGGAGGGGTACTTAATGGAACTTGTTAGGTCTTGATTTCTTTTGGAAATGTTTCTGGTCTCATTTTTTAATTAATTTTTTTTGGGGGGGTTGGTATCCTTCCTTTATTAAAAGCCTTTTTTGGGGAAAAGTTACAACTGACATTTACAAATGAAAATGTGACATTACTCCATCATCACAGTGGATTGCACGGTGAAGATTCCGCATTGCATGCACTGACGGCTGGCCATGTTGACCAGTGCAAGTTGCCAGACTGCACGTACACATGTATTCACAACGTTGACGCTCTCACATTAATATCACCCCATCAGCATGTAGAGAAGGCATTGTAGCCAAAACGGCAAATTACATGTAGGTGACGAACACATGACTAAGAAATCAAATTGTTGTTCAGGTTAATTACAACAACAATAAGCTCTGCTGAGCAAGCTCTGATTTCTGTGAAGGTACGAGTTGTACGAGTTGTCTTGTATGCAAAGGTATATGAGTTGTCTTTACTGGAGGTACAAGTTGTCAAGGGTGTTGGTCACTTTGCCCCATTTCTACTTTGCCCCATGCCACTTCCCCTCTAACCACTTCGCCACATTCTCACTTTACCCCATACCCACTTCGCCCCACCGATTATTGTTTATTCTGTTCTTTAGTAACAAAGGCATAGGCCTAAATGGAACAAATGAAAACATCGACGTTCTAGCAACCAAATAACGGTGGGAGAATCCAACTTGAAAAGGCCAAAACAATACCTTCGATTTCCGACCGACCCTATGCGCAGTCTAAATTAGCTATGCATTTGAAAAAAAAATCCTTTTCTTTCCTTTTGTCTGGACTTCGGAGAGCTAATTGGGGTAGAGTACCTCTATGACCAGACAAACACGGTCCTTGAGGAGTACTTCCCCGATGACGCTGAGGGTGACAAGCTTGATGGCGACGATGAGGCCTACCAGGAGGATGAGGCAGGGTTGGACCCCACCATCCCTCCACTGGATGAGGCAGGTGGAGCCACCCCCCCAAAAATGGCACTACCAACAGCATGTGTCATTTTGCCCTTCATGTAACCATTGTAAAAGAATTTCAGTATAACATAAACAGTAGTTCAAAATTCCTACCTCGTTTTTCCTCAGTTCCACCTGCAGTGTCGGGCCGAAGGAGGGATTTTAAAAGACCTCCTATGGAACCAAGTTCCTGCTCCGTTGCACTGCCCAGTGACAAGCCGGAGCAACCACTACCAGCTCCAAGCCAGGGCTACCCAGCAGCCATTCATCCTCCCGGGGCAGGTGACGCAGCATCATCACTAAGCAAAATCCATGCACCCAGGGCCTCATCAAGTCCACGCCGAGCCAAGCCAGCCAAGCTGTCTTGAAGACCAGCAAGTCCATCACGAGACGCCAACCAGCCAGTGACCACCCAGCCTCCCCTTGTCCCTGAACCTCCTTTTCTCCGTGAACCACCAGTCGTTGAAGAACCCATGGAGTTTGAGGACCCAGCTCAGCACACAGATGAGCCTGTAAGTACAGTGTAAATACAACTGAGTTTATGTAGAGACATTGTGCCACAGTACTGTATGCAAAAATAGAAAATGTAACTACTGCTTCATGTTTACGTTCTAAAAGCTAGACTAAATTCATTTGATTTTGATTAGGCAGGACGAGAGCATCGGCTTCCACAAGACCTTCAGGGGACCTAAAAGAATTGAGCGTTGTAACCACACAGCGTGATAACCGACTGGATGGACGCACAACGTGCACCACATGTGCACATGTACATGTACTTCTCTGTGCATGTATACACATACATGTATCTACATGTATGTGAATTACATTTACATGTATTGGCAGATGTATGTACCGTAATTTTCGGAATACTGTATATGCCTTGCATCCAGTTATGTGGACCTTTTCGTGACACCGATTAAAAAACACCACCAAATTTCTTAAAACCTACCACTAAAAAATATGCACTGCATCTACACCCATCATGACATCCTGACTGCTACTAAATTCCCATTAATGCAGAGTCCAATCACTGACTTTTTCCAATAACCATGTGACCGCAGAAAGTGATATGTCATCAGAAAACCCAAGTGAAAACAGACCAAAAATTTTCGTGTTTGCATAATACGTGCATCTTAACCTCCCTACTGTGATCATTAATGAAACATGCACAGCCTGACAGCCCCATCAGCAGGCTTTCGGCATGGATCCCAAAATATTCTTGTTCTACAGATGTTCTGCTTGCAACCAAGACGATTTCTGCCCTCTTCAAGTCTTTCAAGCAGTACACTAGATAATCATTTACATGTAAAACTTTCATAAAACTCTTATTGTTCCCGTTTCTAAAATCTGAGGTTTTCGAATCCAATTGCAATGTAAGTGATAATGATTTATCACAATTTAACAACGTTTAATTTCATCTCATAACAAAATTTTATACCATACTGTTTGGATGTCAATCTAATGTGTGAGTTTAGTAAAGCATTTTCACATTCCAGTGGAAATCAAACTTCACTGCCTATTCGGGCATCAGAAGACAGCACTCTAATTACTTCTTACATTTGTTGGTACGGTTAATATTCAAAAGTTTTTAAGAAAGCTATAAGATCTGTCAATCATTTGAACTCATTCATGGTGCTGCATGTACCATTGCAGAGGGATATAATCCGATGCGAGCAGCATGGCAGTGACTCACAAAATGCGACAAGTTCACTCGGCATCCCTCGACTGTGGTAGGGTTAAAGTGGATGCAGATCACCACCGCTGAGATCAAAGTGAAAAAAACCTACTTAATCCTAATCCGACTCTTTGACAGGCAACAGAAGAAACACCTGCAGGGGAACATCAAGCTGGCTGCATGGCATTTCACAATAGCGAAGTATTCACGAATGGGAATGATACACGAATAGAAATAGAAGATAGAAATTTATTTATTGCTACATATTCATAAAAAGTACAAATAATAGAAATTACCTGACTGCTCGCCAAGTAAAAACCTAAAATACATGTAGATCTATGTAGATCTATCTATGTATAGGTATGTATTGCTTGCCCAGCACATTGTCAAACTTTTCGTTCAGTTCTCTAAGTGGCCAGCTTCAAAACCGTCTCCAAAGAGGATATTCCACATTTTTATTTTGCCTTTGGTTGCCCATGATTACACTTTGTTGAGAAAATAGGAGAAACGTTTTTTTTATCGAGCTTTAAATGGTTTCATTTTGTTTCTTTTCCGCTTCATAAAATTTGCATTTTTGCACACTGTTTGATCACCTGAGGCACAAGGCGACCGGATCAGATGTGCTGAGATGGATTCATATCATCAACTTAATGAGCATGCTTACGCAATGCTAATTTAATTTACTTCTCTCTACAACTCTTCAACTACTTGGAGAAAATGGTCTACTGAAATTGTGTTTTTCGAGCCTACACAATGCTAATTTGATTTTTACTTCTCTCAACAGCTCTTCAACTACTTGGAGAACATGTGAGTGATGTCCACGTTATGGCCACCACAGGTGTGGACTACTTACCGCCAGTCTTTGCGATTGAACAACGATGTCGAAGGTTGGCATAGGGCCCTCAATGCAGCCCAGAAGGGGACACTTCCCTCTACAATTTGCTGTCTCTACTGAGCGATTAAGCGAAGCTGGTGTCAGTCCAAGTGTCAGTACCGTTACATGTACCAGCGACGAACCTTCAAGCGTGTGCAGTGGCGTCTGTTCCAGCTGTGGGATGAAGTTGACGACGGGAAGAGGACTCCAGAGCAGCTCCTGCACGTGTGTTCACATATTTACGCCATCCTGCCGGTATAACAAAAAAAGCTGGAACTCACTGGATAGGACCTCAACATAATTGCCAAGAACTCATCATTTAATTTCAAAAGTGTTTTACACAGACGTACATGTCCAGGTATTTGAAATCATCCCCCAGAGTTCCAATTAGGCTCTTTGTCTGTTTTCACGTGATTTCGCCATAATTCATCTTTGATTAATATAAAGTGTGCAAGTATTTCCCATGTTCAGCTGACTATTCACACTGTGCCTGTATCACTCTGTTTGATGTTTTCCGCTCAGCGTACAGTTAATTATATACATGTATTATTTTTAAGCACCGTCATCTTTCAGTCTGTGTACAGCAAATCAGTTGTGTACGATCATGCTGGATTCTTGTCATGACATACAGCTAGTAATTTATTTGGTGTTTTTGCTCTATGTAGACCTACAGATAATTTTGTGATTATTTAAGTGTCTGTGTATGAATTATCACTTATATACATGTACATTATGAAGTGTTTCCTTCTAAGCATGGCTAAGGTCTGATCTCAAATTAAATATTTTCGTAAGAAAAGATGTGGTCGATGTGGCTCTGCAATATGTTGCGCGTATGTTTAAATGTGCCTATATACATGTACAGACTATAGCGACAAACCGGATCCTGTAGCTACCGGTAGGGCTGTGGGAGGCAATGTGTGTTACTATTGCCAGGGTGTTTGGTATTCAAATAGTGAGTACTGAACAAATCTCTGAAAATTCAGCATTAGCATTGACGAGTTAGAAGATGTTATGCCAAATTATTAATTTTAAAATGCAGTGAACCTTCTAACAAATACTGAATGGAGTAATGAAGTAGGATATGGACAAATAAAATCTAAAACTGAAGATTTTGAATAGAATGATGAAAGGTTGCATAACAAAGTGTCATTTAGAACGCTCTGATAATTAATCAGGGTCTGAGTTGGCATGGGTCTGAGTTAGTCATGGCATACAGTAAGGAACAGGGTCCTAGTTGGTTGTGGGTCCGAGTTGACTTCGGGTCCGGGTTAGCCTTTTGTCAAAGCCTTCGTGGCTGTGTGTGTAACTGCAAAGCGACTGGACAAGAGACCAAGCGAGTGGCGCAGCCACGAGGCCTTTTCCAAATTGATTTTTAGGTTTTTGTGGTGAATTATTCATAAGCTTTCTGACATGTCTGATGTGCATTATTCATAACTTTCATGTAAATAGTTGAAGCAGATGAGTCTCCGAAATGAACCGCATCAACTCTAAAGCTTTAAATTCAATGTTTCCATCTGGTTTTTCAGCGGTGACATGACAACTATGATGATTGTTGGTGGGGATGGTTCTGACGGAGTAACACTAGCAAGTAGCAGTTCATCAAGGCTGAATGGTCAAAGCAAAATGGCAGTGCTTGAAATATGGAGCTCTTACTGTATCCCGTGGGTAGACATGAAAACTTCATGCCTGCGTACAGATGCCTCAATAGCCTAACGCTGCAACCGTTTAAATTTGCAAGGTGAAGTTTTCCAGCAACATATTTTAAATAAGTGTCCAAATACTGCTCAGATGACTGACCTGCACTCATGGCTGCCAATACACTTGACACACTTGCCATCTTCCGTATACTTTCAATTTGCATAATAGCTGAATGTTGCTGACCCTCTTGCTTATGATTGGTTGAGATTTTTGAAAAATCGAAAACATAAAGAAAAAGATAAGAAATTCCTGACAAGTTGGAAAGCACTTTGTGGCTGCGCCACTCGTGCATGTGGTTTCCGGTCCAGTTGCTTTGCAGTTACACATAAACACAGCCACGAAGGCCTTGACGAAAGGCTGGGTCCGAGTTAGCTTCAGGTCTGAGCTGACTCGAAACCGTGGCGACAGATTAGAGGCAGACTGTAAAAGAGAGCCATTACTACAGCCGCTTTACCATCACTTCGCCCCATTTCCACGTCGCCCCATCCTCACTTCACCCCATTTCCACTTTGCTGTCCGTGCTCAAGTGTGTTACAAGCCTCTTCATAAAATGGTCGAGAGAGGAGTTCCACAAACGACATGTAGTTATTATAGAAAACTCTATGGCATTCACTAAAGCATGAAGAAAGTCGACTGCATTGTCCATATGGTGAATTAATACATACATGTATGGTTGGACTAGTATCAGGGTTATTTTTCATCCTCTTCAAGTTTATTTCAAAGTGACACACACAATTCTGTTCACATTGTTTTGGTAATTGTCGATGCATCCAAACAACTGTGCCCGGGTGATTGGATAAAGCTCGGCCCGCAGGAAATTTTGTGAAAACATGCTCGCTTCAAATATGAGCAAAACAACCTTAAAATTAAACTGCTGAACACTGAAAATACACTCATAGACAAGATACATGTACTAAGAATAAACATGAAGAAATCTTGCAGTCTCCTGACGACGGACAGACAATAACAGAGCATACTGTCCGAAACGTTGAGTTCCTCACAGTTCTTTTCAGAACCATACAGACTCACAAAGAGATTGTATCCTTGCATGGTGCTACCGCAAGCTTTCCACCTACATGTAAGAAATCTTGCAACAGCGATGTTTTTTTTTGATGAGTGAGATCACGTACATGTACGTGTCTGGTCGCCCCGGCATGAATAGACTGGTTGCCTTACTCACTCATTCCTTTACATGTACATGGGTGCGGCACAGCGGGAACCAGCGCTTTGTGCACGTGTTTTTACCACAGCGACAATGAAACACCAAGACAATTTGTTTTTCTAACTTGCCAATAAAAATTTCAGGGTCTCGTCAAAAAATTTGGGTCGGTCGGGAAATTGGAAGCATTGTCTTGGCCTCTACAAGTTGGATTCTTCAATCGTTATTCAATCGTACTCAAACGCTGATGTTTTTACATGTTGCATCTACATGTAGGCCTAGGCCTCTGTTACCCTATGCTGTTACTAAACAGAATGAACGATAATCAAAGGGGCGAAGTGGAAATGGGGCGAAGTGGGGGTTCATTACCATTAGCAACCTGTTCCTATAATAAGGAAACAAAGTCCACTTTATCAAACTAACATTTTGACCTTAAGGAACCATTACTCAATCCTGATAGGCCTTGTTTAGGTAAATTTTGACAATATTTAATTAAGCAAGAAAACTTCAAATTTCTAACCCAAGATTGGCAAAAGACAACCACTCAGTCGAATGATGCCATTTTGTTTTTCGTCTGGTTACCCCACTCTTTTTGGATTCATCAAAACAAATCTCTATCCAGGTCAAGGAACCAGACTACATTCGCTTATTTGTCGTTCACAGCTCTCTTTGGGGCGGTCATGAACACTGCCATTTCACCCCAAAAATTTCTCTCAAAACCAAAAGCCCTGTTCTCTTTTCTTTCTGATATGAAAGAGGACATCACCAACAACTTGTTCAGACAAGTTATTTCAAAAAAAGTAGAATTTGTTTCCTTATAATACATACATGTAAGAACAGGGTGCTAAAGGTAATGAACCCCGCGAAGTGGGGATGGGGTGAAGTGGTTGGGGGCAAAGTGGTTGGGGGCTAAGTGACCGACACCCCTACAGCCCTAAGTGTGGGGCTAACTAACCTGTTCCCATAACACTGGCGTTTGGGAATCGAATTTATTTTTTGTGGTGAAATGATTCACAGGTGAATGGAAGCTAGTCTATTATGTCATCAGACGCACTTCAGTGACCACATGAGATTGCACAACATACCGGTACTGTGTACTGGTGTAGCTTCAGTGCACCGCAATACCTCAACAGAGCAACACGTACCGGTAGTGTTCAGAGCTCTGTGTTGTGTAGCTAGTTAATGCCCGTTGAAATATCACACGCTGTGTGATTCAAGTCGTCAAGAATAGCGTCAACTCTGCATTCACCAAAATCTTTCACACCTAAAGAGAAATCTAACGTTACAGAGAAAAGACGAAGAGAAAGCTGCGCTAACCTAGCAGAATCGAAAAGATTGAAGGATTCGCATGCAAATCTGAGTGGCGAGGCCGAAAAAGGATGGTACATTTCGTATGATTCTAAACTTGAAAGATCTGAATGAGCATGTTGAGTACCATCATTTAAAAATGGATACTTTTGAAACGGTCCTTCAGCTTAAATGTTCATGTATTTCACCTGAATACTATCTGGCATCTATAGATCTTAAAGATGCTTATTAGTCAGTCCCCATCGCAGAGGAGCACCAAAAGTATCTAAAATTTGAATGGAAACGAAAGTTGTTCAGTATACCTGCCTACCCAATGGATTAGCATCAGCACCCAGCATGTTCACTAAGCTTATGAAGCCTGTCTTTGCTACATTGAGACAGCCAGGTTATAGGAATGTGGGGTATATTGATGATTCCTTACTGATTGGCTCTACAAATGAGGAATGTCAAGAAAATATGGACAAAACCTTGGATTTATTCCATAAGCTGGGATTTATACATCACCCAGTGAAATCTGTCCTAAAGCCAACACATAAACTCAAACATCCTGGGTTGAAATAGATCCCAGTCCATGACAGTGACACTGCCTGCACAAAACACACTAAATTTAATTGAAGAATGTGCAAAACTTCTTCAGGTTTGTGTACCCATATGTTCTGTTGCCAAAGTTATTGGCCTTATGATCTCGAGTCTCCCAGCAGTTGAATTTGGATCACTCCATTACAGATCCTAAGAAGTAAATAAAATAGACGCCTTGAATTTAAATAAAGGCAATTTTGATGCATACATGTACATGCCAATTACTCAGAGTATGAAGCAAGACCTCACCTGGTGGATTGAAAATTTACTAAGTCAAAATCAGTATATTAGGAGGGGAAACCCCAACATCACAGTTACTTCTGACGCCTCAAATATTGGTTGGGGAGGCACATGTGAAGGAATCAAGCGTGGTGACAGATGGACCGCCAAAGAAGCTGCCTATCACATTCACTATTTAGAAATCTTGGCAGCTTTTTTAACACTGAGATCATTTTGTGACCAGGTACGAGGCAAACATGTCAAAATTATGGTAGGTAACAGTACAGCTGTGGCTCACTTAAATAACAAGGGAGGAACAAAATCTCTTCATTGCAATGAGATTGCAAAGTTCTTATGGTTGTGGGCTACAGACAGAGGCATTTGGATCACAGCGACCTATATACATGTACATGTACCTGGAAGACTTAATGCAGAAGCTGATCTTCAATCAAGACAGTCTTTTGACAAAACAGAATGGAAATTGGATCTTGGTGTATTCACACTTATTACAAATCATCGGGGGACCCCAGAAATTGATTTATTTGCCTTCAGACTGAATAAACAGGCCACAAAGTTTGTGTCGTGGCGGCCAGATCCAGATGCACTACACATCGATGTATTTACTATAAATTGGCAGTCATGGTATTTCTATGCTTTCCCTCCATTCAGTGTGCTGGGGAAAACCATACAGAAGATCGAGACGGACAGGGCAACGGGCATACTTGTGGTCCCCTTGCGGACAACTCAACCATGGTTTGCCCACATACTGCATATGCTAATCAAGCAGCCGATATTGCTCCCCCAAAAGGATTCACTACTTCGCCTGCCAACCTTGACCAACAACATCCACTCAGGAAGAAACTGAGATTGACGCCTTGTCTTGTGTCTGGAGATCACTTGAAGAGCGAAACATTTCGCCACAAGCAACCACCATCATTATGGCATCATGGCGGATTAACACAAAGAAACAATACAGAGTCTACACGAGAAAGTGGATACAGTTTTGTCGTAAAATCAAGACTGATATCCTGCATCCAAGTATATGCTCGATTTCCTAACTGAATTGTTCCATTCTGGAATGGGCTACAGTTCTCTCAATACTGCCAGGTCAGCACTCTCGGGACTGTGCTTTACAGACAACAAAATAACTGTCCGAGCCCATCCATTGGTGGTAAGATTTATGAAAGGAGTTTTCACCATGAGACCATCTCGACTCAGATACAGCTGCATCTGGCGTGCTGACCAGGTCCTTCANACGGGAAACGTCAGAAAAAAGAACAGAGCAGCAAACCACATACATGAAACACGCACATGCAAACACTCAAAGGAAATGTCCCGGATGCTGCTTGACCACGTACACGCGGAACGCATGTGGCGTGCACAAATGGTGAGCGCTGGTCGTGTCACGTGCGGACCAGATCAGTGCTATGTACGTCACGGGTTAAAAGGCTTACAGTTTTATGTACAAAAATACCACCGTAACTCAAACAATGCCCACACCATTACATCCACTTATTTTGAAGTTTCTGATTAAAAAAAAACGCCACCAAAATGCTTCAAATGGCGTTAAAAGTATCGGAAGTCTATATAGGGTTAGCAGTCATCCTAAGTTCATTTCTTTTCCGACGAGGACCAGCACGTTGCATAATTATAAATCAACGTAGCTGCAATTGTGTAATCCTGGCTTTCAAGACGCTGAAACTAACCTGATTGCAACGCGGGCCCAATTGTAGTGCCCTTCAGGCAGTCCAATCGCTGACACTGCAGCGGCCATGTGACCGTATAAAGAAACGTCATGTGACCACACATAAGGAAGCCTAAGTGAAAAAAATAGCAGCGCTTCACGTTGTTAAATGACTAAGCGATACGAAAGTTTTGCCACACGAAGGTACGTACCACGATGAAGTGGTTTCGTTTAATAAATATTTTTTCAGGATAACTCCATTACCCTGAGGTTCAGTTGTCGAGATTTTAATGTATAAGTAAAAGTCACTTCGACAAGTGACATTTGATTGGCCGGCTGTATTATGACTTCTCTCAACATTTCCTTTTTTCGAGTGAAAAAATACTTGGATTTGAAATGCTTTAGTACATGTACATACAGAAAACATCATTCCTGCTCTTTTGGTCAATTCCTCATCCACAGTTCCGCTGAATCACTGAGGAAATTCAAGTTGCTTTAATTTAAAAATAATTTTGAAACGGAAGATTTCTTGGTATAAAACTTAACTAAACTGGTTCTCTGACTCTTTGGGTTTGTAGGGCACATTTAGTGCTTTGATTATAAGAAGAGGCCGATCAACCGCACAATTTGTGCGTGATCACTACTTACCGCACGCCGTGTGGAGTCCCAGTACCGCTGGAATATAACACAGTCCGCTCTCGCTTCATCGTCAAT